CCTGAGATCTGTACAGACTATGCTAAGGTCCAGGTCGGCAGTTGTCCCGGCTAATCTGTCAGCCTGCTCTTTGCCATAGATACCAGAGCGGCCTGACATCCATATCAGCTTGATTTGTTAGCACCATGTAGCTTACGAATGGCCAGTTCATTTTTAGTGGTTTCTAATGATCTAATGGCTTTAAGGGACCTTAGTGAATCAGAAAAAATGATCATTCTATCGTGGGTCGTCGATAGTGCAAAGTCAATAGCTTTATCAATAGCAAAAAGTTCAGCAATAAAGATTGATGTATGATTCGGCAATCTGAATCTCAATTCATTCATTCGGCCACACACTCGCACCTATACATTGCTCAGTCTTGGAGCCGTCGGTATATGTATGAAAAAAAAGGTAGATGTTTAATAAGGATCTCTCTGAACCTCTGGCATACCTCCACCTCCGGCGCCGTGGCCTTGGTTGATGGAAGTCAAGCTTCCATGATAGCAAAATTGGGCGTTTCCCGTGACGCTATATTAGTCTGAAGCAGGGTATCGATGGTAGAGAGATCTATACCGACTTTTTGGATGAGGTCGTGGAATCTTGTGGTAAAGGGCCTATTGGCACCATTACCATTAGGGTGGCTTGTGTCTTGAGCCACCTTCACGGCATAGATCAGCGCCAGCTGGCTGCGTCTGAGTCGGAGGGGAGGTACTCCTGACTCCACCTCAAGACGCTCAATCCTTATACACTTCAGGGCTCCAAGACATCTACGCATGCATGCATTCTGCACAGTATTCAATCCTTTCAAAGTTGAGTCTGATGCCGAACCATACATGATTGACCCATAATCTACTTTAGACCTAACCAGGGCTCCCCATTTGTTTCCAGAAATGCACTTTAGTAAATTTAGTGCTTTTTAACATTTATTCTTTAACTGACCAATGTGGTCTTTCCAATTAGGTTTACAATAAAAAAGTAGACAGAGACATCCTCCTACGTGAAAAAATTACCCCAATACTCTTGTGGAAAACTTGAAACCCCACTGGAGGCCCCAGTTATGAATCATAACCAGTGCCAATTGGATGCAATTTGTTGTGAATGCTACATTACTGCTGGAATGCCATAATGCACAATCATCAGCGTACAGTGAGTATTTAAGATTCCGAGGGGGAGCTGGTGAGATGTCATTTACCATGCACAGAAATAAAGTAGATGACAAGACACTTCCTCGTGGGACCCCGTTTGCCTGGACAAAAATGTCTGAGAAAGTGACAGCAAAAGTTCTGTCAGAAATGAAATTTTGAATGAAACAAGGCAAGTTTCCACGTAATCCAAAAGCTTAAGGGCCAAGGTCCCCAATATAGGTCAGTGGGCAGCAGGATATGTCCACCCCCTGATGTCAACATCCCTCTTACTAGTTACTGCTACAGTCCCAAGGGATATGACCTTGTGGGAGTCACGGCGGGAAAATTCTAGGTGTGTGGATGAATGATTAAAACAAATAAAAATAACTAAAAACAGTGTAAAGAGTCAGGAAGAAAAAGAGTGGATAGGCTAGCATAAGAAAAGTACAAGATGCAGAAGGAGAGTAAAATGAAAGGAGAAACGGTAGTAGAAAACGTAAGAAAGAAATAAGGTCAAGTAGAACCACGAGGCTGCACAATATGTGGTGTATGTATAAGTGCAATCCTGCACAGTCCAGCTCTATCTTTAATAAATACCGTCACTGAGGCTTAATACTTAGCTTTTCCGTTCTTTTAGGATCCTTAGCTGGAGCTGCCGGCCACTTAGGTATAAACTAAATGTAATATGTACAAAATGCCAGAGGATGAGGAGAGAAACGCCCCGTGGTACAGTAGAATAACGAATGTTTATTTCTCGCGGTACAAAGGGGGCCGCGGGAGGCCGTGACGTGAAAAATACTCAACGAAACTAAATCAATAAAACTAAACTTTAGAACACATAAGAAATATAATACATTAAAAGGGATTTTAAAAAAGGATGGATAAAATCATGTATACATAGAAACACTGAGCTGACAGTCGGAAAGCGCAATTTAACCAAGGGGGTTACTCACATGCACATAACCACACCACACGCACTCACACGCACGCACCCATACGCACACAACCACCAAGCGAGCATCATTTGAGTGGGGGGGGGGGGGTAAATTGGCGTGTCACGCTACATAGGCCTTTTCAATGTAAAAATACTGAAATCAAAATATGCTTTTTGACAATTGCCTCTTGAATATGACTGGCCAGTTTTACTAGCTGATCGAGAGTTTGGCGTCCTTTTCAGAAACCGCACTGCTCGTCAACTAGTAAATTCTTGTAATTCAAAAAATGCAATAGCCTACGGTTAACAATTCATTCCATGACCTTGCATAAGCAACTTGTCAACGCAATTGGGTGGGAGGAGATGGCATATTTGGGATTTCCCTCTCCTTTCAATATGGGAATGATATGGGCGAAGTGCCATGAGTTTGGAAGAGTCTGGCTTTTCCAAATTTCATTGTACACTTCTAGCAATGCTTTATCATCTCATACCGAATCTCATTGGGGCCTGGGGACGCCCCTCTACAGGTTTCTGTAAGGTCTTTATTGTAATTAAATTCATCTATGGCAAAGTGTATGGGTTGCAGCTCAGCCGCTTCCTTGATGGTCAGGAATGCAGGATGTTAGTTGTCTGAGCTGCTTGTATAAGAGAATTGCCTGGCGAGTGCAATAGCGACGTCTCTAGGCGATTCTAAATTGCTTCCCTCATGAATGATGTTTTTAATTTTGAAAGATTGATTTTATTGACGTTAGACCAAACCTGTGATATTTTGGTGTTGCTATTGATTGTAGAGACAAAGCCTTGCCAGATGTCTCTTTTGGCTTGTCTGATTGTTCTATGAGCCCTAACTCTTGCTAATTTATAGTTGCAAAAGTTCTGGTTTGTGACATTATTTTTGAAAAGCCTGTAGGCCCTATTGCATTCACGCAGTACCCTGTGGCAACCTGGAACTCTATGCTTTTACGCTATCTGTCGAAGTCTTGGGAATGGATTTCATTGCTGCATCTAAAATAGAATTTTGAATATTGTTTACTTTATCAATGGTTTCTCCAACAAGTTCGAGCTTGACGTTCCTTATGAAGGAGACCAAGTCTGCTTTTTCTACGTTAAATTTCGGTGCTGAAGGCGTTCTGGTTGTGTCGCATGAATATTTAATACAAATAGGAAAGTGGTCGCTTCCCAACAAGTCAATGGTGTGCCACAGGCACTTAGCTGCTACTGTTGAAGAGACCCGAGATTGATCAATAAAGCTCAAATTACCGGTATTATCATCCACTTGCATTGGACTACCATCGTTCAGAAGGATTAGGTCTGAATCATTAACAAGCTTAACTACTTGCTCACCTCTACCATCCACCCGCAGGGAACCCCTTAATGTATGATGAGCATTAAAATCACCTAAAATTACTTTATTTGGGGCAGACTATCCTGAAGAGCAAAGAGCTCATCATAAATTACCACATCAGGTGGACAATAAACTTAACATATAGTCATATACATGCTATTGACTTTTACTTTGTATGCGACAATCTCCAAAGTAGAATCTATAGTCACTTCTGTAAATGGGAGGTTCTGGTGGATGTACATGGCGACTCCGCCTCCACCCTTACCCTCTCGATCCTTCCGACACAGATGGTAGTTTCTCAACGAAACCAATTCATCAGAGATAAAGTTGTTTTAATGGGTCTCTTCGAGAACAATAATATCGGGAGCATAAGACGAGGCTAATAATCTAAGGTCGTTTACTCTAGTTCTAAGACCGACAGTTCCATTGTATAATGGTTAATGCGAAGATTATGTTTTATGGGGTTTGGAAGTGCCTTTTTCTGGGAGGGAGGCGCCTCTTCTCCCGAGCTTCCCGGTGACCTCTCGCGGGAAGACTTGGAGACAAAAGCTCTCTGAGGAGCTGACCAAAAACCAGGCAAACTCTTAACAGGAGTCGCCTGGATGGGAACATATGATCCAGATTGTGATTTGGTATCATCCTTATGTTGCTGCTTTTGTTGGTTTGATTCAGTAATTTGTTTTATTGTTTTGTTCAATTCAAGAATTTGACTTGTTAATTATTTTTCCATTTCCTTAATATCAGCAGTTTCTTTATCCTTAGCTGCAAGCACCTGACTGATACTGCTTGCACTGGGAGTGTTGTTAGTTGCTACTGAAGCATAGGTAGTATTGGGCTTGTTGGTCAAGCCTTCAACTTTCCTCTTGGCTTCATGGTAACTAACATCATGACCTCTCATGTATGCTAATATTTCAGTCTCCTTCAGTCTGCTGCACACGGCAGAGCCTGACTGATTGAGACCTCCACAGTTAGCACACTTGAAAGGGTTTCCAGTACATGTAGTGTGTCATGAGCTCCAGCACATTTACCGTAAGTGAATTTATCAGTATCCTTATCAATACAGCGTAATGAGGTGTGTCCAAATTTTTGGCATCTATTACAGCACATAAGTTTTTGAATTTAAGATCTTACTTGGACTCGTTCGTATCCAACATAGACATACTCAGGAATTTTACTTGAAGCAAAGGTCAAAAAACACAATCCGGTTTCTGTTCGCACATTCTCATCTTTCTTGGTCCATTACGCCTTGGTCCTTCATGTTTTCAAGAATTTCACTTTCATCCATCATTCTCAAATACCTATGAAAGACTACTCCCTTACAGGTATATGGGCCAACAGAAATAGTTACTCTTACCTTGAAATCATGAATCTGCGTCAGTTTAATTGCACTTTTACAAGGAAGCTACCATCTAATTTCTTACCATTAAGGACCTTGATGAAGCAACTGATTTTCATTCACGCATCTGGCAGCCAAATACCTTGCATTCTCTGGAGGGATAGCATGAAGTCGTTCTCGTTCTCAATTGTAGTGGTTCCATTATTCATAGTCGTGGTCTTAGAAGAGTCATGGGTCGCCCCTCCTCCTCTAGGAGTAGGGGTAGCCGGGGGATCAGTCATCATGGGCATCGGACAAGTCCGACCCCTGGGCGCTTGCCCGTTGTCCTGAAAGACCAATAAACCCCTTAACTATTGGTAATCAACCTAACAGCAATGGCTAAGAGAGTGTGGCAGTTAATCGTCCTCTACCCCTCCAGTGGAAGCCTGTTTGTTCTCCAATACCACATAGGGATCGAGTTAAGTGGAGGACACTTCCCTACCGCCAAACTTCCCGAAGCGAAGGACGGGAAGTAGATGCCCACCCCAAGCGAATACGGGAGCCCACAAGGCTCAGGGAAGTCACATTAAAGAAGGAAGGAATTCAGAATATAAAAAGTGCCCAAAGGACGCCCCAGACTACTGGGCCTCACTACTCAGGGGTCAATGCCCGTGAGGGCTACCCTGCTGTAGAGAGCTGCAAGTCTGAGGTGGGGTGCTGACTAATCCTACTGTAGTCTCATGTGACCTGCAAGACCAAAGCACTGAAATTTATTCTGTGCAATATACATTATACAACACAGAAACCACAATATAGAGCGAGACGAGAGGCCCCGGACTCTAGGGTAACAAGTGACACACGATTTTTTAATTTGTTGCTGCTGCTGCTTTTTAAAACAAGGTCTGACCTGGTCAAGATCTCATACACGAGTATGAGAGCGGTTTTTAGTTCAGTTAATATTCTATAATTAAGAAAATAATGCAGTATGTTTGGTTCTGGCGAAAAGAAGAAACTCGAGTCACGTAACTGGTTACAGTAGCCGCCAACACATGGTGCAACTACGAAAAGCATTTACAAAGGACTTGGCGATTTTCATTTGATTTGCCTGCTGTACATAGATGTTTAAAAAAATATTTAGCTTTTTATATTTCAAGAAATGTGCAGTTATTATTTATCCTTGTGTTGAAAGAAGAGGGAGGGCGAATACCGCCTGGCCTCCATAAGTGTTGCCATTTCGATGAAGAGGATTTCAGGAAATCGCATTTGTAAAATATCCCACTACAAAGTCGACGATAACTAATGTCACACGTTTTGTTGTCACTTATTTGAGGTAAATGAAAGATCAAATGACATATACTTTCCAAAAATAGGATAATAAGTTAGCAATATACGACCATTATGGCGAACCGCGGAATATCGTATTTGGATCTGAGAACATTGTTTTTGTTATCTTAGAATTATATTAAATTGAAGGTAATTTTTTTTTCATTTATTCATTTTTTATTTACTTTATTTATTTTGTGTTGTTTCGCCCTCTTGCTTTTATGGGTCAGGCACTCTACATCTGTTCGGTAATTATACTCGATAATTTAGTAATAAAAGTACAGTGATTGTGTTCATGCATGGTGCTTGCGATAATGACGGCCAATTGAGACGGTCCTCGTTTCCCTTCCATTCCACAATTCGAATATTAATTGTGAGATGCCGTAAACCTGTTGTAAGGGATTAATTATATATCATTTGTGATGTTTGTTATACAGTGTGTTATGGTTGTGTAAATGAATGGTACTTATAATTTATACTGCTGCGATTATGTCTGTGCCCTCAACACTATGTATAACTCCCCTGATAAAATGCTATAAAATGTACAAAAAATAGTTAGGCATATATTGTTGAACAGATTTAGGGACAAAACCATATTTTGTTCAATGTAAGCTTCATTCTTATGAGCTTAGAATACATTTCCTTTTCTATTCTACCAAATCCAAATAAATAGTTCTTATTAAATGATATCCATGAAAGTAATTATACTATTCAAAAGTCGAGAGAGAAGCGTAACCACTGTCGTCCTCACAGAGTCTAAACGGCGTTTGATTAGGGGAAATTATTTTATTTTTACAGCTTTACATAACAAGTTGCATGCTTTGTAGGTAATAATTTGTAACTTATATGATTAAATTTATTTTCCAGACCCCGATTCCTCCAGTCGAGGTCTCTGGTGAAGGACCTCCTCCTCCTGAGTCTTCCGAAGGACCTCCTCTTTGTAAGTCTCTGTCTCCGCGCACACATACATATACATATATGCGTACATGGTTACATACATGCGCACGCACACATACAAACGTACACCTGCACACATACAAACATACATACATACGCTCAAACCCACAGATACAAGCATAGGCACATACATACACACTAAAACGCACCCACACACTTTGCCATTATAATGATTGCTATATTTGCTGTGGCCATTATTGTTAAAATCGTGATTTTTTTTTAAATTACTAAATACGAAACACAATGGTTGGAAACATAAGGATATGTTGAAAAATGAGAAATTGTCAGTAATGCAGCTGTCACTTTCACGCCATGCTATCTGCACTCACACACCACCCAACACACACACAATACCCAAACACACACTATAATCCATACTCAAAATTAGCACTATTTCACCCTCCTCTCAGCTGACCAGCGCATCGTGGGAGGCAATGAGGCAGAGCCGTACAAGCGCGGGTACCAGGCTGCTTTGACATCAGGAAAAGGTTTCTGTGGGGGTGTTGTCATCAGTAAACTGTTTGTCCTGACAGCTGCCCACTGCATACCAGGGTGAGTACTGATGGTGACAATGTTGATGATAATGATAATAATGCTAATGGTAATATATGTAATGATAATGATAAAATTAATATAGATATTCATAATAATGATAATATAATTATCAAAAATATCAATAATGATAAGAATGATATTGATAATAAAAGTAATAATATATAACAACAACAGTATGCTGGCATAGCCCAGTCCTGTTTCTGCATATGTTACAGCTTATACATTTTCTACTCTTTCTTCTCGCCATAATAATTTGCTCTCCTATCCTTTCCTTTCATTTTCCTTTTTTTCTTCTTTCCTTAGCAATAGGAATGAGCAAATGAATGTAACTGTAGGCATACACGATCTAAAGGTGAAGGAGAAATTTACCCAGCGGATTCCCGTTGCAAAAGCATTCGTTCATCCGGACTATTACAGTGGACGCCAGGGCCCAATTAATGACATTGCTGTCCTAAAACTAGAACAGGAAATTAAGATGACTGGTGCGTTGTAATGTTATTTTTTCGGTTCACGTTTAAGGGTGTTAATGTGCTTGTTTGTGTGTGTGTGTTTGCATATGTGTGCATGTGCCTATATATTTATACATTTGTCTATACACGTTTTCGTAAAAGTCAATGAAATAATAGCATTGAGACTGAAGCTAGCATTTGGCTTCATGTCTCTTATTGCTGTGTACGCTTCCGATGTTTGTAAACTTGACGTGAAAGAGATGTTCTACGCCAAACTTGCATCTGTTGCAGACAGTTGTCCCCGGCGAGATATCCGTATTGTTCTGGGTGACTTCAATGCGGAATCTGGCTGTGATCGAGCTGCTATGAGACGTCTGTCGGTCCTCATGGTTCGGGAGCTGATACCGGCAGCGAGAATAGCCTCCTTTTCCAGGACTTTGCTAGATCCCAGGATTTGAGGATTTCTGGTTCCTGGTTCCAGCACTCAGACCCACATTGTTGAACATAGTACAGCAATGTGGGTAATGCAGCCAAGGAGATTGACAACATACTCGTTAGCACTCGTTGGAGGATCCTCCAGAATTGCAGGGTGTATAGGAGTGCTGAGTTCTGTGGTACTGACCATAGATTGGTTGTGGCTACCCTCTGGGTACACTTCAAAACTCCCCAGCGGTCTAATGATCACCCTAGGGCGTTTCATTTGGACAGGCTGAATCAGGGGGAGAGTGCTTAGGGGTTTGCTGAGGCAATCTCTTGGCGTTTCACAGCACTCGATAATCTGACGGACCCTGTACTTCTGTGGGACACCTTCAAGCGTGAAACACTTGATACAGCCCAAGAATCGTTTGGTGAACGCCCGAAGACAAGACAGAATTTTATCATGGGAGACACTGGAAGATAGATGCTTGCCATGCAGCTCGTCTGACAGGGGATTGGGATTTGCACCATTCTCAGGTGTGCAGAACTCTGTCTCTGTTAAGAAGGGGCAAGGAACAGCATATTAGGAGTCTTGCTGAGGAGGTCGAAGGCCTCTTAGTAAATGACCTTCGTCCTGCATACCAAGCCCTAAGAAATCTCCAAGCCTACTTCACAAGTGACTGCAATTCGCTTAGTCTCAGATCCTGTTGCAGTGTTGGAGCGTTGGACTGAGTATTTTGAGCAGTTGTACCAGATTGACCCACTAACAGTTAACTTGGATGTGGGTAGTGCCGAGATTACGTTGCCAGACCAACCTATCAATGAGGATCCATCCTCCCTAACTGAAGGTATGGAGGCGATCTCCAATTTGTAGAATGGCAAAGCAGTGGCATTCCAGCTGAACTGTTAAAGGCTGGTGGGGAACCTATGGCACGGAGGTTGCATGCTGTCCTAGCTGCCATCTGGCGGTCGGTATCGGTCCCCCTGAGCTATTAAGGGGTGTGGTCATCTCTCTCTGGAAGGTTCTTGCCACATCTTTCTGAGACGTATCAGGAACCACCTACTGAGGCATCAGAGGTTGGAGCAATCTGGATTCACTCCTGGTAAGTCCACAATAGACCATATCCTTGCGCTTCGAGTCATTGTAGAGCACCGTCGTGAGTTCGGGCATGGGCTGCTTGCAGCCTATATCGACCTCAGAGTGATTCGGGAATCACTCTGGGAGAACCT